TTAAAATTCAACATTTTCACCTCCTGAAGTGTACTCCAAGAATATGCTTGGATATGTGTCTGTCGTTTATGATGGTGAAATTAAAATCTTTTGGTTGAGAAAATTTTGGTTTATCCATACAGTGTATCCTCTGCAGTTTTTCTGTGTAGTATAGTCACTAAAAATCACATTCTAGGGGAATGTTTAATGACATGGAAGATACTTAGGATTTATTAAGTGAAAAAGTCTGCGAGTGTTCATATATGTTTATATATATGTGTATGTGTAGCTATCTATGTATATGGCATATCTCAGTATGATGAGATTGTGACTTTTCTTTACTTCTTTGTCCTTTTATTTTGAGACAGGGTCTCACTCTGTCACCTAGGCTGAAGTACAGTGGTATAATCAGCTCACTGCAGCCTTGATCTCCTGGGCTCAAGCGATTCTCTGTGTACCACCATACCTGGCTAATTTTTGTATTTTTTGTAGAGTCAGGGTCTTGCTATGTTTCCCAGGCTGGTCTCAAATTTCTGGCTTCAAGTGATCTACCCGTCTTGGCCTCCCAAAGTGCTGGCATTATTACAGGTGTGACCCACCGCACCCAGCCTTCTCTCCTCTCCTCTCCTCTCTTCTCCTCTCTTCTTCTTTTCTTTTTTTTTTGAGATGGAGTTTCACTCTTGTTGACCAGGCTGGAGTGCAGTGGCACGATCTCGGCTTACCGCAAACTCTGTCTTCTGGGTTCAAGTGATTCTCCTGCCTCAGCCTCCCGAGTAGCTGGGATTACAGGCATGCGCCACCGCGCCCGGCTAATTTTGTATTTTTAGTAGAGACGGGGTTTCTCCTTGTTGGTCAGGCTGGTCTTGAACTCTCAACCTCAGGTGATCCTCCCCCCTCAGCCTCCCAAAGTGCTGGGGTTCACAGGTGTGAGCCACCGTGCCCGGCCTTCTTTGTGCTTTTCTGTATTAACAAATTTTTGAGACCGGGCATGGTGGTTCACACCTGTAATCCCAGCACTTTGGGAGGCCAAGGTGGGTGGATCACCTGAGGTCGGGAGTTCAAGACCAGTATGATCAACATGGTGAAACCCTATCTCTACTAAAAATACAAAAATTAGCCAGGCGTAGTGGCGGGCACCTATAATCCCAGCTACTTGGGAGGCTGAGGCACAAGAATCGCTTGAACCTGGGAGGCGGAGGTTGCAGTGGGCCAAGATCATGCCACTGCACTCCAGCCTGGGCGACAGAGTGAGTCTCAGGGGAAAAAAAGCAAATTTTTGATAGTGAGCATTTATAACTGTTATAAAAAGTTAAATAAATTATGGCACATCAATGTGTGTATGAGTGTGTATGTATGCACTCTTTAAGGAAACAAAGCCTTTACTATTTCTGTGCCTTGGAAAGAAGAATGAGAAATTTCCACACCCATGAAGTGGAGGAACATTCATGTCTAATGTTTGGGGATTGCAGGAAAAAAAAAATGGAAGTAACTATGATACCTACTTCTTGGTCTTTTTTTTTTTTTTTTTCCTCTCTTTTTGGTGAGGATTTAATGGGTTCATGTGCTAAGAACAGTTTGTATTAAGTGCAGACAGTTTTCAACTTACAAGGTTTCAACTTACTATTTTTTGACTTTAAGATTGAACGAAAACGATACCATTCAGTAGAAACTGTATTTCAAGTAACCATACAACCATTCTGTTTTTCACTTTCAATATGGTATTAAATAAATTACATGAGATATTCAACACTTTATGATAAAATAGGCTTTGGTTACGTGATTTTGCCCAGCTCTAGGCTACCGTAAGTATTCTAATCACATTTAAGTTAGGCTAGACTAAGCTAAGATGTTTGGCAGGTTAGGTGCATTAAATGTATTTTTACTTATATTTTCAGCTTAGGATGGTTTTATTGGGACATAACCCCATTGTAAGTTGAGAAGCATCTGTAAAAACATTAGCTATTCCCATTATTATTACTGCAAAAGAGGGTAGATTGGGTTCATAAGTATCACAGAGGAATGCAATTATTATTATTATTATTATTATTAATTTACCTTTAAGAAAGTTCTCATACATGGATATATTCTGTCTTCCTACTTCACTGTATTGGCTATTATGACTATCAGATGAAATATAGGAATCTAAGGCCGGGCGCAGTGGCTCACGCCTGTAATCCCAGCACTTTGGGAGGCTCCAGTGGGCAGATCATGGCGTCAGGAGTTTGAGACCAGCCTGGCCAATGTGGTGAAACCCCCGTCTCTACTAAAAAATACAAAAATTAGCCAGGCGTGGTGGCACACGCCTGTAATCCCAGCTACTTGGGAGACTGAGGCAGAAGAATTGCTTGAACCCAGGAGGCAAATGTTGCAGTGAGCCAAGATGATGCCACTGCACTCCAGCCTGGGAGACAGAGCAAGACTCCGTCTCAAAAAAAAAGAAAGAAAGAAAGAAATAGAATCTGAAAATGCTTGGAAAACTGGATATGCTGTACAGGTTTAGGGAATTATTATCCCAGCATTGAATCAGGGCCACATTGAAGACAAGATGATGTTTTGCTGCTCTTCCATTCCATGTTGTAGAATTTTATATTTAATGTTTTTTCTTTTGCTCTACACTTTCAGAGAAACTTCTCTAGTAATGAACTAGAAGTGACCCCAGAAAGCACAGCCTTTGTTCTTCCGTTCTTGTCATTCATTCCTTCCTTGCAAATTTTCCTTTTATTTATTTATTCATTTAAGAGACAGTGTTTCACTCTGTCACTCAGGCTAGAGTGCAGTGACACAGTCATAGCTCACTGCAGCCTCAAATTCCTAGGCTCAAGTGATCTTCCTGGCTGAGTGCAGTGGCTCATACCTGTAATCCCAGCACTTGGGGAAGCCAAGGAGGAAGGATCACTTGAGCCCAGGAGTTGGAGACCAGCCTAGGCAACATAGTGAAACCCTCTTTTATAAAATGAAATATTTGTTTTAAAAACGTGATCTTCCCACTTCAGCCTCATGAGTAGTTAGGACTAAAGGCATGCAGCACCATGCCTGACTAATTTTTTAAAATATTTTTTGTTGAGGTGGGAGTCTTGCTATGTTGCCCAGGCTGCTTGTGAACTCCTGGTCTCAAGCAGTTCTCCCACCTTGGCCCCCTAAAGCACTAGGATTACAGGCATAAGCCACTGTTCCTGGGCCAAATTTTCCTATTTCATCATTAATTCATTTATTCAACAAATGCTTGCTGAATGCCTGTGATGTGCCTAGCCCTTTTCTCTGCGGGGGGAAGAAGGGTGAGTGAGGCAGATATGGGCTCTGCTATTATGGGCCTTACAGACTAGTGTGTGTGTGTTGCGGTGGCAGGCAGGCAGATACCCAGTCAGAGAAAAGAAAGGAGATGTGTGGATAGGCTGGGCACAGGACTATGGGCACCCTGTAGTCCAAGCACGTTGGGAGGCTGAGACGAGAGGATCCCTTGAGCCCAGGAGCTTGAGGCTGATTGATACCAGCCTGGGCAACATAGCAAGACCTCATCTCTACAAAAAAAGTTAAAAAATTAGCCAGGCGTGGTGGCATATTCCTGTAGTCCCCGCTACGTGGGAGGTGGAGGCAGGAGGTTCACTTGAGCCCAGGAGTTTGAGGCTTCAGTGAGCCATTATCTTGCTATTGCTCTCCAGCCTGGGTCACAGCGAGGCTGTGTCTCAAAAAAAAAAAAAAAAAAAAAAAAGGAAGAAGAAGAAGAAGAAAGGGACTGTGTAGAGAAAGTAAAACAGGGGGAGATGACAGAGAGAGAACTCAGTGGAGGGAGGAGCAGTCAAGTATGGCTCATGAAAGAGGGCACAGTTGAGAAGGAGGAAAAACTCAGTAGAGACAGAATATTCCAAGTGGACGGAACAGCCAATGCAAGGGCCCCGGGGTGAGAACGAGCTGGATGAATTTGATCAGAAGAGGGATTGGAAGTTGGTCAGTCCACTCTGTAGAAATAGAAAACGCACAGTTCAAAGAGACCATAAATCCATGATGCAAGAAGTTTCTATGAGAGAAGCTTGGGAGTCTCCTTAGAACCTGAAGAGCTAAAATATCCCTCCAGGTGTAATCAGGTACAGAGCATCTACCTGGGCTGTTACAACCTGCCTGTCAGAGCTATGACTGTGCTGTTGGCAAGAGCCTAGGACTGCAGGGAAAAGACCGAGAGTCGAGTCTCGGCTGTTTGATCTTGAGTGAGGCTCATGACCCTCTGGCCCTCAGTCCCTTCTTCTAAAAGTTGGGGATGTTGCTACCTGCCTTATAAGGTAGGGTGAGGATTAAATGAGTGAGTGAGCACTTTGTGAAAGATGGCGTGCATGGAAGGGTTGCATATCTTTAGTAAGGGAAGCTTTGAAGCCAAAGTGCCAGGTGGGTGGGTCTCCATGTGGAACAGAGTGAGATGCTGTGTGGCTGGACTCTGAGTGCTGGGGAGGCTGTGGGCATCTAGCCAGGCCAGGGCGCCTGTTCTTCACCACCTCATTAACACAGCCAGCATATCTGCGTCTGAGATTGGCCCACTGTTCTCCTACTAGAGTGTCTTTCCTGTTTCTCTTTTCCATATCCTGTCCAACCTGGTGGGCGCCATAGTTCAGGATGTGTTGGGTGAAGCCCTGTCTACATTCACTCTAATGCCCACTGATCTCTCTCTCTTCTCGTGGAGACCCACAAATTATCACCTCATTACTTGTGGATTTGTGTCTTTTCACTGTTTCATCTGCCTCCCTGTCTAGATCATAAGCTACTCGGGAGTAAGAACTGTTTTGTTTTTTGTATTCTTGCCACTCCTCCGTGGCATTCACTACAACATAAATCATAGAGGTCAGAACATACTGAAGTGCATATTGAGTTCAAATGCTCAAAAGTGATCTTCATGACACCCGTTTACTTTCTCTATTTACTTAATCTCCAGCTATAATGTTTACCTGCCTAAAAGTTCCATGTTCCCATTATTAAACATACTTCTCTTTTGCCATGACTAGGTATTGAAAGGATTGTAATGCTTTGTTCTGTAGCCCCCAGGTTTCCCTAGATGACAAATAAACATTTCTTTTCCTGCGTGAAGATCGTCTGTGGAAACCTTGGCCATGGCATCGATATCAGAGCCTGTTACATTCAGAGAGTTCTGCCCGTTGTACTATCTCCTCAATGCCATTCCGACAAAGATCCAGAAGGGTTTCCGCTCTATCGTGGTCTATCTCACGGCCCTCGACACCAACGGGGACTACATCGCAGTGGGCAGCAGCATCGGCATGCTCTATCTGTACTGCCGGCACCTCAACCAGATGAGGAAGTACAACTTCGAGGTGAGCCTTGCTTTGCTTTTCACCCGAGGAGGCACGAGCTATAGCTGACGCTTAACATGCTTGTGTTCTAGGATGAGATAATTTACTTCTGATTTGCCAGAATATGGCCGTAATACCTCACTCAAACAATACTTTAAAACTATCTTTAGCTGAAGTGGAATATAACTAAAAACATTGGTGTTTTTAACTTTTTCCTGCCTCCAAAAATCTAACATCACTTTATTTGTTTATTTGAGACAGAGTCTCGCTCTGTTGTCCGGCCTGGAGTGCAGTGGGACAGTCACAGCTCATTGTAGTCTCAAACTCCTGGATTCAGGTGATCCTTTTGCTTCAGCTTCCTGAGTAGCTAGGACCACAGGAATGACTGCCACAGCCAGCTAATTTTTGTTTTGTCTGTAGAGACATGGTTTCACTATGTTGCCCAGGCTGGTCTTGAACTCCTCGGCTCAAGCAGTCCTCCCACCTTGGCCTCCCAAAATGCTCGGATTACAGGTATGAGCCACCACACCTGGCCTAACATCACTTTAAAGGAGAACACCACCTGAGGTCAGGAGTTCAAGACCAGCCTTGACCAATATGGTGAAACCCCATCTCTACTAAAAATATAAAAATTAGCTGGGTGTGATGGCATGCACCTGTAGTCCCAGCTACTCAGGAGGCTGAAACAGGAGAATTGCTTGAACCTGGGAGGTGGAGGTTGCAGTGAGCCAAGATCACACCACTGCACTCCAGCCTGGATGACACTGTGAGACTCCATCTTAAAAAAAAAAAGAGAACATTTTAGTATTTAAAACTTACTATAACACTTTGAAAGCAGACATTTTTTTTCCTGAGTGTTTACAGGAGCAGGCACATGCCTGTTTTTCAAAGTTTTGAATAATCTCTAGTTCTTCTCTTGAAATTATTATGAGAAAAGTATTTATATGAATATTGGCTCATTGCCAGAATATGCACCTCTTAGCGGAGGTCTCTTCTATAGCGCTGGGATCCTGACCAATCTGTTTCTGCAGTGCTGTGGACTCAGGCATTTCTGTGTATTGTAGATATTGGTGGAGATGTTATTTGACCGTGTTGTGGCTGGCACCAACTATTGGTGAACTGTAATGTAATTCACCCGTTTAGTCAGTATCTGTAGTTTATTGAGTACATCACTTTTGTGAGAGACTCAAAGTTGACTGAGTTGTGGCTTCTACCACGTGGGACTCTATTCTGTCTGTGGTTAGGGGGCTTTTATGGACCAAGATACAGCTTTCGTGTCTGAGAGAAATGTTTACAGATACTTGTGTTTTAATCAATATTCAATATATTAAAGTTTTAAAACTTAATTAACTTAAGCTTCTGTGCTCATTTTAAAATAATAAAAATGGTTGGTACACGTACAGCCCTTTCTATGTGTCAGACATTATTCTTTAAAAATATCTTTTTTAAATTTTTTAAAAAATTATTTTTTCCTTCTTGCTGTTTCTTGGACAGACGTATATTAACTCATTTTATCCTCACAAAAACTCTCTGAGGCAGATGTTATTATTATCTTCCTCATTTACTAAGGAGACAGCTGGTGGAGAGAGGGTAGGTGACTTGCCTGAGGTTGGCTGGTAGTAAATGGCAGCACCGTCATGTGAACTTGGGCAGACTGTCTCTAGGGTCTGTATTAATTTTGGGGGGTTTTTTTGGTGTTTTTTTTGTTGTTGTTGAGACAGTTTCACTCTTGTTGCCCAGGCTGGAGTGCAATGGCATGATCTCGGCTCACTGCAACTTCCACCTCCCAGGTTCGAGCAATTTTCCTGCCTCAGCCTCCAGAGCGGCTGAGATTACAGGCACCCGCTATCGCACCCAGCTAATTTTTGTATTTTTAGTAGAGACGGTGTTTCACCATGTTGGCCAGGCTGGTCTCGAACTCCTGACGTCAGGTGATCCATCTGCCTCAGCTTCCCAAAGTGCTGCGATTATAGGCGTGAGCCACCACACCTGGCTGTGTATTAATATTTTTTGTATAAAAATTAGAACTACTGCTATTTCTTCTCTTTGAGTAATAGCTCACGGATTTGACTGATCAATTTCCCCAAACATTTAAAACCATTACATAATCTTTCAAACTGTAGTTATGAGTTTAATATGTCTGAAATCTCTCAAATGCTTCAAACACTTATAAGGAAGACTTGTGAATCCAGCGATGAATCCCAACAAGATAAATCAAAGAAATCCATGCCCAGAGGCATCATAGTCAAACTGCTAAATATAAAAATCTTAAAAATAGCCAGAGAAAAATGACTTATTACCCGTAGAGGAACAATGATTTAAATGACTGTGGATTTCTCATCAGAAGCTGTATTAGCCCGTTCTCACGCTGCTATGAAGAAATACCCAAGCCTCTATAATTTGTAAAGGAAAGAGGTTTTATTGACTCACAGTTGCGCATGCCTGGGGAGGCCTCAGGAAACGTACAGTCATGGTGGAAGGCACCTCTTCACAGGGCTCACTGTCATGAGAACAGGATGGGGGAAACCGTACCCATTATTCAATTATCTCTACGTGGTCCCTCCTACGACATGTGGGGGTTATGGGAACTACAGTTCAAGGTGAAATTTGGGTGAGGACACAGCCAAACCGTATCAGAAACCACGGAAGCTGGAAGACAGTAGCATTTTTTTGGTTTTTTGTTTTTGTTTTGTTTTGAGATGGAGTCTCGCTCTGTTGCCCAGGCTGGAGTGCAGTGGTGCGATCTCGGCTCACTGCAACCTCCACCTCCCGAGTTCAAGCAATTCTCATGCCTCAGTCTCCCAAGTAGCTGGGAATACAAGCGCTTGCCACCACACCTGGCTAATTTTTTTGTATTTTAAGTGGAGAGGGGGTTTCACCGTGTTCGCCAGGATGGTCTCGATCTCCTAACCTCATGATCCACCTGCCTCAGCCTCCCAAAATGCTGGGATTACAGGCGTGAGCCACCGCATCTGGCTTTTGTTTGTTTGTTTGTTTTTGGAAGAGTTTTGCTCTTGTTGCCTAGGCTGGAGCGCAGTGACACGATTTCGGCTCACTGCAACCTCCGCCTCCTGGGTTCAAACAATTCTCCTGCCTCACCCTCCGTAGTAGCTGGGATTACAGGCACATGCCACCATGCTCAGCTAATTTTTCTAGTTTTAGTAGAGATGGGGTTTCACCATGTTGTTCAGGCTGGTCTCAAACTCCTGATGTCAGGTGATCCACTCCCCTCGGCCTCCCAAGATGCTGGGATTACAGCTATGAGCCATCGCGCCCAGCCGGTAGTAGCGCATTTTTAAAGTGCTGAGAGGCCAGGCATGGTGGCTCACACCTGTAATTCCAGAACTTTGGGAGGCTGAGGCAGGTGGATCACTTGAGGTCGGGAGTTCGAGACCAACCTGGCCAACATGGTGAGAGCCCCATCTCCACTAAAAATACAAAAATTAGCTGGGTGTGGTGGCTCATGCCTGTAATCCCAGCTACTCAGAAGGCTGAGGCATGAGAATCGCTTGAATCCGGGAGGCAGAGGCTGCAGTGAGCTAAGATCATGCCACTGCACTCCAGCCTGGGCGACAGAGTGAGACTCCATCTGAAAAATAAAATAAAGTTCTGAGAGAATTGTCAACCCAGAATTCTTTACTCAGTGAACATACCTATCAAGAAAGAAGGTGAAGTGAAAGTATTATCAGATGAAGGAAAACTTAAGAGGGTTCGTTGCCAGCCGACCTGCTCTAAAGTCATTGCTAAATGAAGTTCTTTAGACAGAAGGGAACTCTGTACATCAAGAATGAAGAATAGTAAATACCTGGGGAATAAATACAATAGATGATTTTTCCCGTTGAGTTCTTTAAAATATATTTGACAGTTGAAAACAAAAATTATAACTGATCAAGTTTTAACGGTTGTAGATGTAGTAATATCTAAGACAAGTAGAACATAAGTAAGGGAGAGTAAGGTACCCTACACATTTGTACATTCTTCTTGAAGAGGTACAATGTTGATTCTAAGTAGATTTTGAAAAATTACGTATTTATGTGTTGTAATCCCTAGAGCAACTACTCTACGATGAGGTAGATGTATCAAAATGAAATTCCAAAAAACGTTGAAACAACTCAGAGGAGAGCAGGAAAGGGGAAGCAGGAAGGTAAAACAGAAAGAACAGACAAAACAAATAAAACGATAACCTAAATCAAAATATACCAATAGTTCCGTTAGATGCAAATGATCTAAATACGTCTATTAAAAGACAGAAATTGTCAGGATAGGTATAAAATGATGAACCAACTGTATGTTGTCTGTAAGAAATTCAATTCAGATATAATGATACAGGTAGGCTGAAAGTAAAAAGATGGAAGAAGATACCTCATGTTAACACTAATCAATGGAAAATTGGAGTGGCAGCCTGGCACAGTGGCTCATGCCTGTAATACCAGCACTTTGGGAGGCTGAGGCGGGTGGATCATGTGACGTCAAGAGTTCGAGACCAGCCTGGCCAACATGGTGAAACGCCACCTCTACTCAAAATACAAAAATTAGCCAGGCATGGTGGCAGACTCATGTAATCCCAGCTACTCAGGAGGCTGAGGCGGAGAATTGCTTGAACCTGGGAGGCAGAGGTTGCAGTGAGCCAAGATCGTGCCATTGCACTCCAGCCTGGGCAATAAGAGTGAAACTCCGTTTCAAAAAAAAAAGAAAGTTGAAGTGGCTGTATTAATATCAAGGTTTTCTTCTGTGCAAAGAAATAATCAGGGATAAAAAAGACATTACATAATAACAGGTTAGTTCACAAAGAAGACACAGCCATCCTACATGTATTATGTCCCTTAACAACAGAGCTTCACACAATACATGAGGCAGAAATGGACTGATCTGCAATTACATGTGGAGACTTCAATATTCCTCTCTCAATAATGGAAGTAGTAGACAGAGAACCAACAGGATACAGAAGAACTGAGCAACACCATCAGCCAGCTTGGTCTAATTCACATTTATAGAACACTGCCCAACAGCAGCTGAATATA